AAGGAAGCACGGAAGCGCCGTGAAGAGCGGCTCCAGGCCAAGAAGGAGGAGATCATCAAGACTCTGTCCAAGGAGGAAGAGACCAAGAAATAAACTTCTCCTCCTCTTGTCTGTACATAGTGGCCTTGGCAATTACATGGATCACTCATTCAATAAAACAAGTCTTTATCTGTTTCCAAAGTTGTTGGCTGCTTGGTGGATCTTCATTATTTACAGGGCAAGAACTGAGGACTGGGTTACAGGCTCATGCCCCTCCATCCAAGCAAGGGGTGTGGGGTCTATTTTGAGGGGAGGGAAAGAGTGGCTTCTATCCAAGCCTCAGATATTGTGCTTCAAAACTGCCCTTTGCAGCAGGGTATGAGTGGCACCTTGGACACTGCCCTTTACAGCAGGGCATGAGTGGCACCTTGGACACTGCCCTTTACAGCAGGGTATGAGTGGCACCTTGGATGTGGTCTCAAATGTTGGTTCGGAACCGGTAGTTGTGACTTGAATTCTCACATAGTTTTAAAAAAAACAAAATAATATGCTTACACTTCTCAACTGCCCTTAGATCCAAGGTTGAAATCTACTGCCTTGGAACTCCAGGGCAGTGGGAAATTGAACCACCGCCAGTCCAGAGGCTATGATGTCTGGACTGCCAACTACCTAAGCTGTCTGATTTAGACAGCCTTACTGAGATACAACAAGCTGTCTTTCTGAGCATTCCAGTTTCTGTTGCTAGTCTTTTTTTCTTCCCTATCCTATCAAAGCTTCTGTTTGTTTTTGTTGGTTAAAGCTATCACAAATGGTCTAAAGCTTTTTCCTTTAGCTTTCTCAGAAATGGGAGTAAAGGCACATAATGTACGCACTTGTCACAGCCATTTTGAGTTGCTTAATTTATACTCCCTTTTACAAATGAGGTTTTATTTCGCCACTTACCTGGTAGTAATAACTGCCAATACATTTTTCAGTAAACTGTTCTGTGAGCCAAGTAGTGTGAAGCAGTTTACATTGACTTTCATTGATTCTCTAATGTCACCACATTGTAAAGTCGGGTATCAGCTTCTCCATTTTGCAGATGAGAAAAAGTGTTGGGAGTCACCTGTTCTGCCTGAGCCAAGTGCATTGTTGGGGGTGGCGGGTAAGTAAAATACTACTTTATGGACATTGACCGTGGAGGCTGAGGAAGAAGTCTGGCATGCTCCCCAGGCCTCGAGCTTTGGAGGACTGAGCAGGAGATCCCCTTCGGTGATCAGGAGACAGGACCAGTCGGGGTGAGAATGGCTAGAAGAGCAAGTGGGTGGCAGTTTGGGGGACAGGTGTCCAGGGCGAAGGAGTCAATCAGCCAGTGCCAATACAGGAGTGCCAGCTCAGGTGAGAGGTCGGGTTGGGGAGGAAAGTTGCACAGCAAGAACTGATGTGCCCGTCCTGGTTACCTCCCTGCCCTCCACACTTCTCAAGAGGAATTCTTGTTTGCGGGCAGTAAAACAGGAAGGCCAGTAGGGAACCTTCAGGGCGTGTGCCGGGCTGATGTTCCCACTTACACTTGTGTGAGAAAGGCAGGGCTAAAGTGGCCTTGGGGGCAGTGGACTTCTCCCTAGCTCTGTCTGCAATGCCCTCGTCCAGTCTGGACAGGGTGGGGAGGTGGGTAGCCCAAATCAGGGAAGTCCAGACAGAAATACCCAGACAATCTCCAGCATATCAGTGAGCCTGGGCTAAGAAAACTGATTTCAGGCTCCCTGTTGCCACTGTAGCCACCTGTGCATAATATATCCTTTGAGAATGAGAATATATTCTCATCCTTTGCCATTCCACATGGGGGCGCCGTGGCCTAGAAGAGGAGGGGCCTTGGCCAGGCTTGGAACGTGAGACACCTCCTTCCCAGGCCCAGACCAGAGGAGGAAGGGCACTGAAGGCTGCCCACCTCCACCCCATCCAGGCAGTAGAGGGATGACCAGAAGGAGAGTAAGATACTCAAGCAAGAGACCCTCACTGGGATTCCTGAGCCTACAGCACATAAAACAGATTCCATGGTGGACCAGGAGATGGCGCTGTTCCCTCACAGGTAACTGAAGGTGAAGGAAACTGCCTCACTTTTAGGGGGTATTGGAGGGAGGCTGGAATGGCAGGGAAGTATCAGGTTGTAGGAACCTATTTCTTGGGAAGCCTTAGGTTCAGTCACCTCTTTTTGAAGCTCACCCCTGGCCCCAAGTTACCTCTTTCCGTCAGGGTCCTCTAACCCCTTCCCAGGGCAGTGCCTGGGAGCGGCCCCTTACAACTGCTAGGTCTCTTCCAGGTCCTGGAGCCTGGTGAATTTCTAATGAAAAGATATGTCCATTCTCTCAAGAACATGCAACTGGTCCCATCATATAATTTTGCATACCTTTTAAAGGGGTTCATGGCCCCCAGGTAAAGGCTCCCCAGGCAAGTCCAACACCATTTCTGGAGGAGGAAACTGAGGTCCAGAGGGGCCGGTGACTCCCTAGAAGCCCAGTGTTGCACGAACACTGGCACCCGCCTTCGATTCCTCCAGACTTGGGAGGATGAGACTCAGAGTGGGCTGCAATGGAGGTACAAACCACAGCTGCTGCTGCAGGGCCATGAGCTGGAGAAGGGGTGCAGAGTCTTGGGCCCCCTTCCTGGTGCACTCTCTGAGGCTGAGACAGGGACCACCTAGGCCGGCTTCCCGAAAGCACAGGGAGGGCTGAGGCTGGAAGTACACACTGCCTTCCTTGCACTCGTCCGGCAGATGCCCCCAGCCTGTCTCAAGCACAGAGGAGAGGGCAGTAAGAATAGTGAAGATGGGGAGGGTATAGCTCAGTGGTAGAGCACAGGCTTAGCATGTATGAGGTCCTGGGTTCAATCCCCAGCACCCCCATTAAAAAAAATTAAACTTTAAAAAATAATAATAAATAAATAAACCTAACCCCCACCCCAAAGAAAAAAACTAAAAGAACAAAAAAAGAATGGTGGGCAGTAAAGAAGGCTGAAGAAGTCAAAGGGAATGGTGCTAGCAAGATGAGTGGAGTTTCACAGAGGGTCTCACTTCCCCCACAGTGAGTGTGTCTCCCCCAAGACCTCCTACATCTGGTATCCATCTCTCTGTCCTTTTAGGCCTCTAGTCTCTGGTCCCCAGACTCCCCCTCTTTTGCCATCTCCTGTAAGCCTAGATAACCTTAATCCCCACACCATACATGCCGGGTTAAGCTCAGGCTGAGGTGGGGGAATAGAGGGCACGTGCGGGTCAGGCAACAGAGCCAAATGGTGGGTTAGCACCTCCAGCAGGTTGCTGGGCATCCTCTGCCCCTGGCCAACAGTGTTGCTGCTCCTGCCACCCCCAGAGTGGACACGGATGAGGGCAGAGGCTACAGGGGGAGCACCAGCTGTTCCCAGCCCCCAGGCTGTGAGCATGCTGTCAGTGGTTCAGCCACCCGAAAAAGCTGCTGTGCTCAGCAGTGCGGCAAATGGGCTGGGAAGGAGGTGGGGGTCCAGGCCAGCTGCCGGCTGGGGCAGACACAAGTGAGTGTGCAGAAGGTTTGGCTGAAAAGCTCTCACTCTCTCCAATGGGGTGGGATCTAAGCCCCAGGAGCCCCTGGCCCAGCACCTCAAGGTGTCTCTGTTTCCATCTTCCTGGTTTAAGGCACTGAGGGACCCAGGATCAGGTGGGGGGAAGAGCTGAACTGGGAGGCAAGAGATATAATTTCTGAAACCAACTTGACTACTAACTTACTGGATGACCTTGGGCAAGTTTCTAGTCTACTCTGGGCTTCAGATTCTCCTCGTATAAAAAGGGCAAGTTTGGGCTGGATAATCTGAATGATCATGGGCAAGCCACCTAATATCTCTGTGCCTCAGTTTCTTATCTGTGAAAAGTGGCTGCCACCAGTTTCCTCACTGGGTAGTTAGAGGATAAAATAAAATCAAGGTCCTGGCATGATCCTGGGGTCACAGTGGGTGCCTATTTGTGTGAGTTTCCCTCTCTTGAAGCCTTTGGACAGGGTTTGTGACCCTTTATCCACTCCCACCATCAGGGGTCCTAGGAAGGGGGATCACCTTCCTCCTGCCTCCCCCCCACAAGCTCTAGGGTCTTCCCTAGATGACGGGGCCCAAAGAAAGCTCAGCGGGGGACCCAGGGTCTGGTCCCATCTGGCCTACCTTGATTTGGGGGTTGGGGGCTGGAAGGCAAAACCAGGTGGATGCCCTTCCGAAGCAGCAGGCCCCCACTCCCTCTGGATTCTGGCAGCACCGTGCTGCCCTAGCACCCCCGCAGCCCGCCTCTCTCTCCCTCAGCTCTCCTCTCTGCCTATAAATAGCACAGGACGTGCTCGCGGTGGGGATGACGCGGCTGGGCGGGCGGAGGGGAAAGAGACAGCTCTGCCGGAGCAGGTGGGCGGCGGGCACTGCTGCGGGAGGGGCGCCACCGCCGGCCCCTTGTGCCAGGCTCCTGATGACGGGTGTGACTGAGTCACCTGAGGCCCAGTGTCCGCAGCTGTCTTTGCCGCCAGCCTATCTGTCTCGGGCTTAAGGGGCTGCGGGGAAGAGGCTGATCTCGGGTGGGTATTGAGCCCCCCAGATCCCGGGCACGGCTGGTCTCAGAGGGCACCTCTGGGTGGGTAGCAACGGTCCAGACGGGGAGATGTGTGTCCGCCCCCTGCCCAACGCAGGTGAGCATCCAACCAGAAAGTGACCGCAGTCCCACTCTCTCTCCCTTCCGCACCCCCCAAGTCTCCTCCCCCTCTTCCTCAGGGCCTTTACACGTCATTCTCCCCGCTGGCTCTCCCCAGCCCCTTCTCTCAAACCCAGATCCAGCCTGGATCAGGCTGCTTGGGTGGTAGGGAGCGAGGCGGCATGCGGGGAGAAGGAGGTTTCGTTGTTACCGCTGGCCCCAGCCCCAGCATCCCTCCTCTCAGAGATGAGCACACTCTCCCACCTTATGGGAGCACCTCCAGCCCTGCCGACTCCCTGCCCCTTCCCTTCCTCTAGCCCAAACAGATACATAGATACACAGAGCAGGCAGGTTGGGACAAGAAACATTTAATTAGGGGCCTGGGGGCTCAGCAATGCCCCAGCAGACCCATCATGCAGCCTCATGTACAGTGGGCACTGGGCCCGCCCCTGGGATATTGCTGGGGGAGGGGCCTCATGGCAGCAAACAGGGCAGTGTGGCTTAAGCCCCCCTCTGCGAGGGAGAAGTAGGGCAGGGGGCAGTGGGTGGGAGGACGTATGACTGTGCCCAGGATGGGGGTGGCATTGGCTGGCATGATCAAGGGCACAAGAGGAGGCTCTGAGCTTGGGGAGAGAGAGGTTGGTACCAGAGAAAAGCAACCTGCAAGGGAGGGGTCCTCTTTGTGTGTCCCCATCCCCCGAAGGTGCCTACTCTCTTCCTTTCCTGGTGGCCAAACAGAATTCTTTATCTGTCTCCCACTCTCTCTTCCTCCCAGGGATCTGTGTCCTGGGAGAGGGAGCAGATACAGCTAGAAAAGGGACCCCTGAAAGAGCAGCCCTGTCCCCTGCAAAGGCCGAAGGGAGGGGTGAGGGAGGGCCATTGCGAGGTCAGCCCTGAGGGTGGCACTCCTGGGGTGGGCAGGGGCCCCCTCAACTCCGACAGAAACTGAGTAGTACGGCCTTCCCAGGTGGTCAGTCCCGCCACTGGGGGCTTTTAGTGTCCTGACAGTGACATGGGGGTTGTTCTGACCGGGCATGGGCCAGTTTTTCATTCTCAGTTGGGTTTCTGTGTTCAGGCTGCTCTTGGGTGTCCTTTTCCAGCTAACAACAGTAGGGTGAGGCTGCTCTGTGGTGACTCTCCTCCTTGAGGGGGCAGTCTCTGTGCCATACCCTTGCCAGACCTCAGCCCTCCCCTCCTCTGTCCACCTAGGTTTCAAGTAATGGGAGAGAGAACTGCAGAACTTTCCTGAGAAGTGATGGAGTGACAGAGGTGGTGAGGCCAGGAGGTGGACTCAAGATGTCCCGAATTTCCTCCCCACTGAAGGTGGAGGGCTAAGGGACCCGGGAAGCACCTTCCCGAGGTCCCACTTCCAAAGGGGCAGCTGCAAGGTCACACACAGAGAGACCCGAGCAGAGGCTCTGTGAGGAGAGGGGAGCCATCAGGCATGCAGAGTGGTGAGGGTGTGGCGTGGGAAGGCGCTGGAAGAGGCAGCAGAGAAGTTCCCTGGGAACTTCTTCTCAGGGCTGAATTCAGCATGGCAACTGGACTGGCAGTCCCTGGGCTCTGGGTGGAGCTACTAGAAACTTCGCATTCCCTCCCACTTTTTCTTCCTCTCTGCCCCCAAATCTCAGAGCAGCAACCTCCTCAGGGCACCCTAGGGCCCAAGAAATAAAACATTCCTCAGTGCAGAAGGCTCCCAAGCCATGGTGAGTGGCCCTGAGGAGAGAAGGAGGGAGGAAGAGTGTGGGCAGATGCCTGCTCCCCTCCTGGGGCCAGAAGCGAGGACCGGGCACAGGCAGGGGTGGCATCTGGGTTCTCGTGGCTCCTCTCAGATCTCGGTCAGGGCGTCGGCTGGCACCAGGCCCCGTTTCTTGCCACTGCTGACGCGGATGAAGCCGTCAGCATCCTTGGTCCTGCCCACGCCCACACAGATCTGAGCCAGAGAGACACAGCTGAAGCCTGGCACTGCCTGCATCCCTGGCCCTGAGTCCTGCTGATGTCTCCCAGGGGGCCTATCCCAGGGGATAATGTGGGACCAGCATCAGATGTGGCTGAAACTGGGCTGATGGGAGCAGAACTCACGAGGGTACAAGGGGCAGCAGCCTGACCAGGCCATCAGCAGACACCAAGCAGCACTTTGGGGCTGACCTTTGAGAGCAGCTGGTCTATTGTACAGCGAGACTCCCATTTCATCCAGGAGGTAACAGGGAGAAAAGGACTTGCCCAAGGTTAACAGCTCAAAGGCAGAGCCAGCATTCAGACCCGAGCCTTTAGCTCCTCCCCCAACTGTCTCTAACATAACTCCGCCCCCTGCCAGTGGTGGCCACCAGCCCCAATTCCCAGCAGGAGATGACAGGAGGGCCCTGCAGTCCCACTGCTTCTAACCTGCCTTCCCTCCTGCTACCAGGCTGCAAGTATCCTTCTACAGCGCGCTTGCCCACACCCCTGCCCACCTCTCTCCCACGCACCCCACTCCAGCCGCTGCAGGGCCCAGGCCCTCACCTGGTTCTCCTTGAGGCTCATGTAGCCTTGTTCCTTGTTCCCGGAGAAGGGTTGGCAGCAGCGCCAAACGTTCTCTCCCGGCCTCACCCGCTGCACAAAATTGGCTGGGAAGAAGCCAACCCGGTCACCAATCTTGCCCTGGGGATGAGGCCGGCAATGAGCACCCGTGACACCCCAACCCCCACTGCTTTCTCTAGACCCAATGCCCTGGGAGCCAATGCCATCATCCTCCTGATCGTGGGCTCTGTCTTTCCGAGCCGCTAGTCCGGTGGCTTCTGGGCTGGGCAGGGCACAAGGTGGGCAGAGGGACAAGCCTGGCGGGGAGGGGCAAAGAGAGAGCAAGGCCTGAGGGGTGGGCCTAGGCCTGGCTAGGGCTGGTGGAGAAAGGAGAGGAGGTCTTTGGGGTCGGAGAGAAGGCGGGGCAGTGCCCTATGTGGGTGGGGGCTAGTGAGGTGCCTGCCACTCCCCACCCTTCGCTCCCACCCTGCCAAGTCACCTTCCACCAGTCCTCGTTCGAGTCATCCACCAGCATGATCCGATCTCCAGGCCTGGGAGGAGAGAGCTGGGGTAGCATATGGGGCAGGAGGGAGCTGCCCGCTCTGTATCCCAGTAGTCCTAGGCCCCCCCACCCCCTGCATGCCCCCCTCGGCTGGGGGAGGATCCTTGATGCCCTCGGAGGACCCTATGTGATCACAGGTGTGGCAGACACTCTCCAGGACAGAGGCTGGGCAGGGGACAGGAGACATGACATCAGTACTAATCCCTCTTGGACTCTGACACTTCTGTCTCCTCTTTGGGCTCAGGAGCCTCAAGCATGCCAGGAGAAGGTTCATGAAGGTCCCCTTCACACTCATGTTCCAAGGTCTGGGAGCACAGAGCCTTGAGGTTGGAGCCAGGCAGCTGCCGGGTGGGGCTGGGCCACAGGAGGACTTACTGCAAAGCCAGATCATTGTTCTCCTGGGGCAGAAACTTGTAGAGCGCGACGTAGGAGTACATGGGCCCCACATCCTTCCGTAGCGGGGGCCTGGGGGGCTGTGGGAAAGCTCTGGATCATTGATGGGAGGGTGACACCTTTCTCACTCTCCCGCTGTCCCCTTGCCCTGACCTTGCCTACCCTGGGGGCTGGGAGGTGGGACACAGTGCTCTTGGGTCAATGAGAGCAAGAGGTCAGACTCTCCTATCTGCTGTGCTCACACGGCCCTGAAGGGACCGGGCAACGGACAGAGAAGGGTGATCCTCCTCTGCCCGCCACACCCTGGCACTGCCCACCCTTGGGGAAATCAGAGCTGTTGAAATAGACATTGGGTCAGTGGTGGCAGGAGTAATGCTCCTGCCTCCCTTGCCTGCTCTCCCTGGCACTGCCCATCCCTGTAGGCTGAGGGTAAATGAAGGAGCGGTGATACTCCTGCTCACCACACTCTCACCCACCTAGGGATCAGTGACAGGAAGAAGCGACATCCCTTTCCCACCTGGCCTGTCAATGCTCGGTGCCAACATTGCCTCACCTGCTGTCCAGGGCTCTTCTCCTCTGGTCCTGACCCTTCGCTCTCAGCCGGGGCTGTGAATACTGGAGATGGCAGGGTGGGGCCGGGGTGTGAGGCAGCGGGTAGCGGCCCGCGCTGTGTTCCATTCCTGCCCCTGGTCCCCAACCCCACTCACCGCTGTCACCAGGGCACTCCTCTGAACTGCGGATGCTGCCTTCCCCATCCTCGGTCAGCTCATCCCGCTCGCTCTGGGGACACAGAGAAGGGAGGGCTCAGACCCTTGACCCCCACCCTCAGAGACCCCTGCCCCCAAGGCTCCCCTTTGATGCCCAACATACCAGGCTCTGTGTGGGGGACTCAGAGGTGCTGCTGAAGCTGGAGCGGTTCATCAGGGCCAAGGAGGTGCCATAGCGCAGGGTCTCATAGACAGGGTCCACCTTCCCGCTGGCCCCTGCCAAATAGCCATGGTCAAGGCTGGACACCCAGCTGTCAGCCTGGCTCTGCCCTGAAGCCCTGTATCTCAGCCTTGGCTGCCCCGCTGGCTCCCCACCTCAGCCTAGCTGACCTCCGCCTCTCCCCTCACCTGCCCCTCCCAGGTCTTCTCATCACAGTGAGCGCTCCCTGTCCTCCCACGATGCACAAGCAGAAACCAGGAGCATCCTGGAACCCCCGCCCTCCTCACTGCCCATATTCACTCCATCACCTCATCCTACCTCCAAAACATGTCTAGAGTCTGCCCATTTCTCTCTATGTCCACTGCTACCAGCCTGGTCCAAGCTACTAAACTCTTTCTCGGCAATTGGCTTCCCAACTGGTCACCCTGCTTCCACTGCAGCCCTTCTAATCCATGCAGTAGCCAGAATGCTCTTGTCAAAATGCAAAAATTGACTTCAAAGTCAAAAAACACTCCTAGAATGGACCCCGAGCTCCTGTACCCATGGTCCCCTTTCACCCCTTCACTTTCACTGCCTCGACTCCAGCCTTGTTTTCCTTTTTTTGACCCTCTGCCCCCTCCTCTCTGGCCTGCCTTCTGCCCACAGTGGTCTTCTCCAGATCCTCAGACTAATTCCCCATCTTTCAAGTCTCTTGGATGCCTTCAATGGCTCTGTGGATTAGGCTGGTGCCTGCTTTATCCTCTCTTTATTTCCTTTCCTTCTGTTTCAGGCATTCATCGAACAATGATTCACTGATGATTTGTGTGATTATCTATTTCATGTCTAGTTCCCTTACTAGAACATGACCAGTGTCCCTGGCACTTAGTAGCTGCTCAGTAAAGTGTTGGATGGATGAATGGATGGATGGATAGATGGATGGATGGATGGATGGATGGATGAATGAATGAATGAACTCTACATACAGGACAGGAGCATCCAAAAAAGGGAAGTGGTAGCAATGCCAAGGGCGGGCAGTGCCAGCGTGACTCAGGTGCCCTTCTGTGGAGTACATGGGTCTCTCATCACATCGCAGTGGGATCAGAGGCAACGGTGGACACTCACCCGTGGGTGAGGACTCTTTGCTTGTGGCACAGGCTGGTGGCGGATTATGCACCAGGAGAGGGGAGCTGAAGTTGCGGCGGAAGGAGGAGGACTGTGGTAAGAGGGGCAGAGAGATGGCATGGGAGGTCACAGCACACTCTCTGAAAGCCTGGCCTTCCCGAAGCCCAAATACCACCCCGCCTGCAGAACCAGCCTTCAGGGAGCACTCATTCTCCCACATGCCAGTGCTGGGAACACTCAGCCAGCCATCTCCGCATGATCCCCACTCACCGTCTTGCCTGGGCATTGCTGGTGGGAGATCTCCTCGGAGCACCAGAGGTGGACGCTGGCTTTGCAAGTCTTACACCGCAAGCCCTGCTTGGAGTTTCCTGGGAAGAATTTGTGTTCGGCAAGAGGGTTTGGTCAAGAGAGGCTACATCCAATGTCCAGGAGCAAAGAAGGCAGGTTGGGGTGTAGAGAAGCAAGGAGTTGAGCATATTCATGCCAGCCGGGGGCCTGGCCTGATCCCCCACACGGTCAGAGTGGGAACTGGCCCTAAAGCCTGAGTTGTTAGTAAACACAGCAACACTGGGCCCCCACCCACCCCCAAGGGTGCTTGTGTGTCCACCCAGGGGGAGCGGCACAGTCAGGATTGGGGGCCCTGAAGTGTAAGAGCCCAATTTATCAGGCAGTTTTCCAGTCCACTCCCCATCCCCACTCTGGCCCCTCCCATTAGCACCCCAGGCACCTACCCACAATGAGCTGGTGGCACAGCTCACAGGGGCTGGCTCGCTTGAAGACGTGTTCTTGGAAGCTGTGCAGCCTCACTGGTTTGAGTGGTGCCAGGGGGCGGGGGATGGGGCAGGGGGACGGGGCTGGGGTGGATAGGCCCCTCTCCGTGGAGGCCAGAGGTGGAGAGGGAGGGGGCAGTGGGGTCGGGGGCGTCAGGAGCACCTCGGTGGGACACTTGAGCTCAGAGCCCGAGCGAAGGAAGAAGTTCTCCACACTCTTACTTCGGAGGATGGTCTTGAGAGAAAGCGAGCGCTTGAACCGCTGGAGCTGAGAGGGGAAGAGGGGCTGTGGGCGGAAGCCTTGAGGGGGCTAGCTCCCTGAGATCTGTCCTTGGCCAGGGGCAGCCTGAAGGCTGAGAACCAGAGATGAAGCACTAAGAGAGAGGCTGCTGAGTTCCAGAAGGTAGATCACCATCCCAGATGCCCATAGAAGCCAGACAGGAAATCTCTTGGAGCAAAGGAGGTCTCGCCGGTCAGGCACCGAATTAGGAGTGGTGGGGACTGTGGCAAACTGGATGGCCAGTGAGCCGCTGCTCTAGCCAATTGGGGCTAGTCCATGGGGGCAGCCCAGCATTGCGCAGCTTCCCAATTTTTAAAAAGAAACCTAGACTTTTATGTAAAATTGGATAAAAACAAATTCAAGAGGTTTTATTTCCCTTTTTCTTTGCAGAAATGGTAGTATACTATTTCTCCTGCGCCATGCTTTTCTCATTTCACAGTAAATCTTGGAAACCATTCCATACCAATACATAAAGTATTTCATCATTCTTTTTTATGGCTGTACAGGAACTTCATTGAATAGGTATACTATTTACTTGAGTTAAAAAAATAATACTTTGCGGACCAAGCAAAACACAACAGGTCCCCAGTTCTTGAACAGGGAGTGGGGGACTGGTCGCCTTGGACCCTCACCTTCAGGGCTGAAGGGCTGCAACCCCCCAGCACCGCCACGGCCCCGCCCCAGCTCAGGCTCCAGCACACTCAGTCTGTTTCGGGGTCAGAGCTCTTTGCTCCCACCTTGCCCATCCCCACCTGTTCTCCGTGCAGCTGCCAGGGAGGTGATCCCTGACCCTGCAAAAACCCTTTCGTGGCTCCTCAGGACCCAGCCAAGGGCCTTGTCCCAGCCATGAAACTGCAATTTGCCCACACCTGTCCTTCTGTCCCATGCCTTCCACCTTAGCCCAGATGTGAGGATTTGAACTCCTCTGTGTTGTACATCTCTGAGCTTATGTCCTCTTCTCTGGCCTTAGGCAATTAATTCTCGCTTTTTTCTTCAGGGTTTCCAGTGACTCTTTCTCCTCTGGGAAGCTATCTCTTCTGCAGGAATTCCATTTGGTGGGACCACTCCCTCCTCAGGGGCCGCTGCACAGTAAGTGACTTCCATTATAGCTCCAACCAGATTTATGTGGTCACTTACTTCCCACTCCTCCAGGAGTCTGTGAGCCCCTAGAGGGCAGAGAAAGTTGCTTCAAATCCCCATAGTGGGCCTCAACACCTCGTAGGTGCTCAGTTAGTGTTTATTGGATAGATGAGAGTGGCTGGAGTCCTACATGGAGCCCATGTTCTGGAGCGCAGGGTAGATTCTGCAGTGAGGCCAGAGTTCTTTCTACCGCTCACCCAAACACACCCTTTTTCTGCCCAGAGTGAGCTCTGCACCTCCCCATGTAGACCCTTGCCCCCCTCCCCTCCTGCTGAGAGCCCTTACCCTGCCTGCTCCTTTCTACCAGTGATAGAAGAAGGGGGCCAGAGGCCTGGCTCTGGGCAGCGAGACTTGGCTAGTGTTCCTGGCTGGCACTCTGGGCAGCCTGTGTTCCATGGCTGCCAGCTTGGCAATCACGACAAAAGAATGGGAGTGGTGGCCCCTCTAGGCCTGGGGAGGTCAGCAGGCCACACAACAGAGGAGGAAGCAGATAGGGAAATGTTTGGGCACAAGGCAGGCCCTGGTGTGCTCGCTGAAAGGCCAGAGCCCTGGGGTGCCTGGCAAGCTGAGTTGCCCAGCTCCTTCCAAATCCAGCTTCCTGGACAGCACTTTGGGCTTCTTTGTGTCTCTGAGAAGCAGGGCCCCAGGCCCCAGGTGCCTGGGCCTTGGGGCAGAGATGGTGGCCCAGAGGGACAATTCAATAGAGCACAAATGTGTTCTATGGACCAAAGGTGGTTCTAGGGGCTCTGACTGGCCCAGAGAGATGAGTGAACCACCCACTGCTTTGCCCAGAGGCCATGGGAAAGAGGGCTCTGGGAGGATGTACTAGGGGTCGGGCAAAACGAAACCTGCTGCCTGAAGGCAAGTCACTTCATGTTGTCTCTCTGAGCCTCAGCTTCCCCACATCCAGGAGGAGGGAGTCAGGACTAGATGCTGTCTAAGCAATGCGGGCTCAAGTCCCCCAAGCAGAAACCTGAACTGGATATGAGGTGCTGTCGCTGTCAGAGTCCTGGAACTGAGCTAGCACATCGTACATAGCATCTCATTAATCCTGGAATGCCTCTCTGAGGTGGTGACAATTATTGTCCCACTTTTCAGATGAGGAACTGAGGCTCATTAGGGGTTAAGTCACTCGCTCATCATGAGGCCTCAGGTGGTAAGTAGCAGAGTCAGGACTTGAACCAGTGGCTTTGGCTGTAGAGCCCAGGTGACCAGAAGCAGGCCGGTGCTCTAGAAGGCCCTGCCTTGTCCCTCACCTCTGCCCCTCATTTGTGCCATAGGCTTGTCCATCAAGTCAGTCATGAAACTTAGGGTTAGAAGGGACTTGAAAGACTGGCTACCAAGAGCAGTCCCCACTCTGCACTGCCCTGGCCATGTCCCCTCTGAATTGCTGACTCTGTTGGTCACCTCTTGGGACAGGAAGCACACCCTTTCTTGGGACAGTCATTCCATCTTTGGGCAGCTGCAATCGCTGGAAAGTGCTTCCCTATATAGACCTGAAACCTGCCTCCCTGCCGATCAGCCCTGGTTCCTCCCTTGGCTCCAGAAAGGACTACTCCCTCTTACACACATCAGTCCTTCAAATATTTGAAGACATCAATCATGTTCCCCTCTCCCGAGGCCATTATTTCCAAAGTAATCCTCACAGGTTGAGGTTTCAAGCCTCCGTACTCTCCAGTCTGTGCTCTTTCCTGGTCGCCTCTCTGGCCTTAGTGCCAAGAGCCACCTCTGCAGAGTCTAGAGGCCTCTGGAACAGAATGTTCCCCAGCACCAGGGCAGCCTTGGCTCCCTGGTTCAGTTGTAGTCCCCAGATCCCAGGAGAGTGGAGAAGCGGGAAGGAATGCCATCTGGGGTGGCTGTCAGATGTCAAGGGCTGTGGCTGGAGGGAGGATGAGGACACCTCTGCCAAATGGCTTAATGCCTGCCCACTCCAGAGACATCTGACTTGGCTACCCAAAACTCATTTTGGCTCAGCCTAGCCAGATATTCCTACTCCTGGGACTCCTAGTTCCCAGAAAAGACCTTTCCCCACCTCCTCACCAGCTATCTTTTTGGTGCCCCCACTGCCCCAAGACCCAATCCCTGGCATGCTGGCCCCCTGGATCCCATTCCCTCCCAAAGCGCCAGGAGCCTTGTCTGGCTTGGAGCCTGGACCACCAAGCCTATTATTCTAAATCCCTTCCTGGAGGCAGAGCTTGCTTCCTCCCCATCTCTCCATACCCTGGACAGTCCCTTCCTTCCTCAATACCCCACAGCATCTCCTCACTTCCCGCCAGCTCATGAGAGAGCATGAGGCAGCTGGTGGCAGGTGGTGGCAGATGTGACACAAGCTGACTCAGATAGTAGAGCTGGCACGACAGAGTCTTCCCAAGAATGGCACCAGAGGGAGTGATGGCAGGCCCTATGTAGCAAGATGAGATGGGGACCCAGAGAGGGTGATGCTGACACTAAGAGGGGCACTGAGTAGCTTGGGTGCAGGAGAGATATTCAACTTTTGGGTGGGCAGGAGGCTGGACTTGGGCTGGCAAGAAATGCCCAGGGGACCCCAAACACACTGGTGAATAAGTCTGAAATGTTGGCTTCACTGCCTAATGGGCACCAGCAACCAGCCTCAAGCTGAGCTGGGTGGGCAGCAACCAGCCCTTTCCCTGCCTTCTCCTCCACCACAACAGTCTGAAGACAGAAGCTTCTTTGGGACAAGTTTAGGTAGGGGGTTGGGAGGAGACTGGCAAGTGGGTCTGAATTCCCTCTCTGCCCACCTCTGCCCTCCTGAGGACTTTCCCCCGAGACTGCAGTCCAGCCTGTGTTATTACTGAGTCTTTCATAAGGGTGAGGTACGGGTGAGGTACAGGTGAGGGGGCAGGGCTCCAACTGGCCTGGCAGAGAGGGACCAGGTCAGGTATACACTCTGCTTCTTTCCCTGCTCCTCCAATCTCCGTGGCTCAGACCCAGAGGTGATGGCATGAGATGGTCCTTGGGCTGGGAGGAGGGAGATACAGTCCTGCCAGGCCCTGACCGCCCCCTCCCCACACAGCAAGCCTGCAGCCTGCTGCCTGCTGAGGCAGCACTACCCAGCACTCCTGCCTGCTTTCGGAGAGCTCTTAGGGAGGGGGCCGAGTGACCAAGCCGTACTGTGGGAAGTAGGGCAGGACCTTGGAGCCCCCCAGTCACCTGAGAAGCAAACAGAGGGGTTTTATATGTCTGTCCAAGGTGACTAGAAGACAACTAGAAAAGGTCAGGGGCATTGGAACTCGGGGTGGGGCTCAGTTCCTGGGATCCTCTGCTTGAAAGAAGCTGTCACAAATATTCCAAGTAATATCCTCCTACCCTGGCACTTCATGCCTTTCCCAGTAGACTTGGTTCTCTGAGAGGGAGTTAACTCTGTGGTCTGAGAGCCTGAGGTCTTATTCCTTAGAAGGGAGCAGAAGGTCAAGTGTGAATCTGAAGACTTGGACATAGTAATCCAACGGGTCCCTCTGGCTTAGGGAGGGGAAGCCTACCTAGGATGCCTCAGCCAGACTCCATCCACTCTGGCCCTACTCATCTTCCTTTGGTCACTCCTCTGATGACCTTGACCTCGAATTAACCTCATATCCTAAGGGGTGGTCAAGACAGAATTAGGAGGAAGTTGGGCATTGGAAAGAGCTATAGATGAGCTAGTGATACCAGGGGGGATCCAAAGACCCCACCCACTTGTGGTCCTGGCTGCGCCTCTTCTCATCTGGAAACAAGAGCCTGGTGGGAACAATTTCCCAGGGTGGAAAGGAGAGAGTAGTCTTGGCCTGAAGCCTGGGGTTGGTGTGGGGAGGGAGAGCACTGTCCCTGCTCTCTCATCCTCAGGCAGGCTCAGGTTGCTTCCCGCAGAACTTCTGCGGGTCAGCACCTAGAACTTGGGGAGGGAGCAGATTGATTAGAGGTGGTGGTGGTGGGGTGTTGAATATGAGCGGTGTTCTCACCCGCCCCACCCCCTTCAGCGCCAGAAGTCTGGGCTCTGCCTGAGTTCTTCGGGAAATAATTTATTCATTGTGACTCCCGCAGGAGTAACAATCATACATAATTAGGGTTAATTATGACATTTATTAATTACGATGACTTCTCGTTTTGCTTCTACCTGCTCCCCCACAACCCGAGCCCCCATCCCGCTGGCGGGGTGGGGGTTGGGGCTGCCTTTCCGTTAGGGAGCCGCAACAGCATTCCCCGGTCCCCGCCTGGGGTGGCCGGCGCTGCCGCAGCCTCCAGCGCGAACTCGGAAGCTGCGCACCCCCCGGGCCACGGCCTCACGTCCCTGAGCCTAACCTGGTTGAGAGGAGGAGAATATAGGACTGCGATGGTTCAGAGAGAGATGTCTAGAGAGACTCAGAGATAAATACACAGAGACGCCGAGAGAACCCGGGAGAGACGCACACAGATATACCAAGACAGAGACAAACAGGTTGTAGAGACATTTTCAGAGAGACACAGGCAAAGAGACTGAGCTACAGACTGGAGGACACGGATGGGGTGCGCCTCGCATGCACACATGGGTGCGTACATCGGCCCACACCCGCTACACACCGCTACACACTCACTCCGCCTTCGCTGCACCGACTCCCTCCAACAAAGCCGAGTTACAACCTCCCCAGAGGGTCGCGGCGGCGCGTCCGCTCATCACGCGCGCAAGGGCGTGTTGTGCTTGTGTGATGTGGGCTCCTTGTGGCCCCTCGTCAAGAACCCATTGCCACCGGGTCGCCGCATGGAGCCTTAGGGACCACACGGGGCCCCCCCCTACAGTGACACCAGAGCACCGGAGGCCACAGTGTCGTGACCGTGTCGGGAGGAGGGCGCCCCAGCTGGGGGCTCACTGAGTAGGGGTCTAGGCCTCGCGCCTCCCAAGTTACCTTGGTTTCCTGGAGGGCAGAGACGGTCCCCGGGGAGGTGTAGGTGGCCGTGTCATCCGGTTCGTTCTCCTTCTCGCTCATTTCGGTCATGGTTAGGGGAGAAGGGAAGAGAGGATGCCGAGACCCGACGGCAGCCCAGCTGGAGGCAGGCTGAGGCTGGCAGGCGTCTCTCTGGGAACCTTAAACCCTTCTCTAGAGACTGCCCCCAGTGAACCCCAGGAGAAAACCCCCAGGCAAAGCAACCCCCCACTCCCGAGTGAGGGCAGAGAAAGTTCCCGGGTTGGCAGGTAATAGGAGGTAATTACACGGAACCGCGGAAACAGGAGGACCCCAGGAGTGAGGACCCACGGTCTGCAGAGGATGCTGCTCAGAGCGAGGGGAGGAGGGAAGTGGGGACTCCAGGATGAGCCGAGGGAGGGAGCGACAGAGCTGTCCGTGTCCGGCCGGCTCCGCTGTCCTCTTCGCCCTCCCCCCCATCCTCCTCCCCCTCCCCGCACCGGCCCCAGCCCAGCACCCGGCGGCCCCTCCGCCCAGTCCTCGCCTCCCAACTTTGATTTAGGAGGTCGCCTTGTCCCTCCCCCTTCCCTTCGCGGTTCCCCCTCGCCGCTATGCAAATCAGCTTCTCAGCTATTGGCTGCCGCGGTGGCCAGGAGGGCAAGCTGGGCGGAGCCTGGAGGGGCTCGACAAGATGGGGAGGGGTTTGGAGGGTAAAGAAGTGGAGGGGGCATTTTTACCCTGAAAAACCCGGAATTAGGGTGGGTTCCGTGACAAGGTTGAAAGACGGCTCGGGAGATCGTATTAGAGTCTGGATGGGGTTTCAGGGAATAGAAATAGGTTGGCTCTCCAAAAGGATAGCCGAGAGTGAGATGAAGGTAGGACTTCCTGATAGCGAAGCCGAAAAAGGATGGCGACCCTTCTGCCCCATTAACTGGATGCCTCTCTGCCCTGGAGACACTGTCTCCAAATATACACGTGCTTGGACTATGAGGTAGGGGTTCCCTCAGCAGAGAATGGACAACTTAACATCATGTATCAAAGGCTAGGCCTGTCCTGGAAAGCAAGACAACTATACTGCTTTCCAGTCTTGTTGTCCGGACTTCAGCATAGAATAGGTCTCAGTCCCCACACTTAAGGTCCCCAAACCTCTCCAAGACACGCCCCCCTCCTAAACAGCCTACCACAAATGGAGTTAGATGGGGGTGGGGTGGGGTGGATAAGGAGTGGTGAGAGGAAGAAAGTACTTACTCTCCAAATCGTCCCCTGCCACTTGGTCTAAATCTACCTCTTCTAATGCATGTCGCTTTACCTGCCATTTTCCCAAGTTGTCCTCCCTCAACTCCTGCCGCTTCTAGCCCTGACCAAAAGGTCTAGCTTCATCCCTTGGCCTATTCAAGAAAATGGAGGTAGGTTGGAGGTTGAGAGCATCTTTCCCTGCCTGGGTGTGGGTGGAGAGGCTTCTTGATCTAAGCCTCCCTCTTCATCTGTTTTGGGTGATGAGATGGGGGTTGGGTAGTGCCCAAGGGGGTCTTGCCTTTATGCCAGCCCCCGAGGAGAGGCTGACCCCTGTGTCTCCCCTCCCTGCCCACCCATGCACTTGGCGGTTCATGCAATCTCTCTCCTCCTGAGGATGAGCTCACCATTAGAGCACTGCTCAGGTTACTGTGTCCAGGAATAGAGATTTATTTGCCAGTGGCAGAAGTAGGACAAGGGCAGCTGTGAGGGTTTGTGGTTGTGGGGGCTTGGTCCCTTCCCCCTCCAGACCCACCCACTGCAGCTGCAGACTCTCCAGAGTGCTAGCTTTCCTGAAATGAGGACTAATGCCAACTAGCTAGTGCTAGCTAGTTGGCATTAGCCCTCAAACCAGTCTCCCCAAAGGCCGGTTCATTACCAGCCTGCTCCTAATCCCCTCTGAGGGCCACCCTCCTCCCTCTTGCCCAGCCCAGGTCAGCCCAACAACCCCTCCCTAGGCAACTCAGGAATGTTTGGAGCACCCTGAGATGGGGTCATCAGGCTCCTGTCTCTCCTGGGCTGGAGCGAACAGGGGCTTCTTCTGTGTTTACAGACCTCCTAAGGGGAGGTACCCCTGTTTCCCTCCAAAGAGCAGGTTCTTTAGGGGCCAGTGCCTGTATAGTCACTAATTCACTGGACGTTGGGTAGGTAACTTTTGAAGCCTTGATTTCTTCATCACTAAAATTAACGAGATAGTGTAGTACACCACTTAGCCCCTTGGAAAGTTCATTTTCTTCTTTCCTTTCTTCTGGGAGATTTGTCCCTTCCAAGATCTTTTTCTTTTCTTTTTTTGTGGGGGGATGGGACAGGGAGGAGGTAATTAGGTTTACTTATTTAGTTGTTTATATATTCTTTTAATGGAGGTACTAGGGATTGAACCCAGGGCCTCATTCATGCTAAGCTTGCAGTCTACCACTGAGACTGCATATAACCTCTCCCTCCACCAAGACCATTTTCTGAGGCAGAGGGAAGAAACAGCTTCCTTCCCTTACTTTCTTCAGCTGTTTGGAGCCTGTTATTTCATGCAGGAACTGACTCAGAAGGAGCCTCTGACTAGACATGGGAAAGAATTCCCAGGGGGAATCAGTGGTACTGGGGACCAAGGAAAGCCAGGGAAGTCGGTGGGCCCTGGGGTCTTGGGCATTAGAAGCCTGAGATGGGGCAGGGCTGGGTCCCATGACCTCTGGCTGTCCTTTCTGGCCTGCAGCCTTCGTGTTTCAGACCTGTCTTTCATGAACTAAGTCTGAGTCATTGTCTCAATGCCGACAACTCCCACTGCAGTGGTTCAGGGATGGAGCAGGAGCAACTGGGCAAGCTTCCCTTGGAGGAGGACAAACACTAACTCATCTTAGATTTGGAGGGCAGAAATGAGGCGTGGGCAGAGCAAGGGTCGAGGTGCTGCAGGAGGATGAGTGGCAGTCACTCTCAGAAGGGCTCCCAGACTGGAAGTCGTAATAGAGCTACGAGGGGGCCTCTTACTAGGACAGTTGAGTGAGTGAGTGTGGGCAGGGCTCTCGGGAACCTGGGGACAGAGGGATGGACCAGATGACTCCAAATCTGCCTATGGTACAATGCCCAGCACATTAAGAGAGCTTGGTCCTCATTCCTGGTTTGCCCTTTTTCCTTGTTCTGTGACCTTGGGCAGAGAGCTGTCCATCTCTGGAGGGTCTTTGGTCTTCTATTCAGATTGGCAGAATTGGACTATATTAGTTTGAAACAGAAGTTGGATTAAATGCGGGCAATAATTGTATATCTCTTAGTGTTCTCTCGAGGATTGAATGAGTCGATATATATATAAAGAGCTGGACATATTAAGGACATGATGAATAGTTATTACTATTTAATTTTTTAAAATTTAAGGACTCTTAATCTTAGTCTTGGAGATGAGTTTCAGGGAGTTCATGAAATCCTTGAAGATATATAAAATTTTGGAGAATAAGCATTTTCTAGGGGAAAATTCACAGCATTCACCTGCTCCTCAGAGAATCTAAGATCCCCAAAAGATTAAAAACCACTGGTCTGAATAACCCCAGGGCCCCTCCACCCCAAAGGGTTGATTCTCTGATGTGAGGGATTGCTTCCTCCCTAAGGACTGACCTATTTTCTCCCATAAGCACCTTCACTTCAAGCCCCTCCCTGCTGTGGCCTCTGCCCCTATGCGTTGCCAAGAACAGCCCAAGCCAAACACATGAGTAGCTGGCCTTTTCTTCCAGCTTTAGAACTGGGGCTCCTAGGGCAGAGGAGTTTGTTATGGTTGAGGCTAAGTCTGGGTTCTCATTTCCCAGCTGGGGAGAGAGAGAGGGCCCAGGCTCAGCTGAGCCGGGGATGCAGAGAACACAGTGAGAGGCCTGGCCTGGCCTGGTCTCCCCTACCTCCCCTTGCCAGCCCACCCAGGCCCCAGAGGTAGATACCACTCCAGTGAGCTAAGGCCCATGGCAGGCATCAGTAATTATGATTTTATGGAAATATAGAAGGCTCTTACGCAAGTGCCTGACACACTTCCCGGCTGTGGCATCTGGGACAGCCAGGTCCCCAGGGGCTGGAGGAGGGCCCCTCCACCCCCTGCTGCCACCAACCTCAGGACACTGGCATAGAGCCGCCCTCCCACTCCCTGTGGCATTGTCCCTAACACGTCCTGGGTGAGCTGTTCCCTCTCTCTGTGCCCTAGGCTCCCTGGAGGGGAACAACATGGGCTCCAGTGTCTACAACCCCTCCCCCCACCCCCACCCCCACCAAGCCAAGGCCGCCCAGAAGACCTGTTCTCATGGGTGGGGGCTACTGGTGTTGGGGATGTTTCCCTCTCCTCCATGAGGAAAGCTCCTCTTTCCAAGAAGCTGTTCTCTTCTATTCTGTTTCTTTTCTCCTTGAGGCCGTAGACAGGGCTGACAGCAGCCTGTGTATGTGTGTGTAGGGGGGTAGGTCATAGGCCCTGGCTGCCCCTCCCCAGGCTCTATGCCCGTTTGCCCACTCTCACTTCCTATATCTCAAATAGCATCCGAAGCCACTGCTATCTTTCTCTAGTCCATTCCCTGTACCCACCCACAAAGAGTCTGTTACCAAGGTAACAGAAATGGCATTACTTTGGGGTGAGCAAGGAAGTGGAGCCCAGTGGATGGCGCAGGGCTGTTAGGGGTTAGAATTTTGGAAATATGAGCACTGAGAGCCCCCAGATTCTTAAAAGTGGATATTTCCATGCAGAGGGACCCTGGGCACAGACTAGGGTGCAGGGTGCTGCTTAGAGCTGGCGGAAAAGAGGGAGGATGAAGTCTGGAAGCAACTGGATCTGGGTGTTCTGGAGAAGGTGAATCTGGCTTACTCAATGGCAGAAGCAGGAGGGTAGTGATGCCAAGGAGATGTTACGGCAAGGAGAGTGGAATGCCTTTAATTCCTCCCTTGGGGTTCAGCTTGTTAACTCCTCCTGGGGAGAGGTTTTCTGGCTGGGAGAGTCTTGACCCAGTTGAAGCAGCAGCTGGGGAACCTGGGGGCAGCCTGGGCCCACAGCGCCCCCTGCAGACTACACAGAGAGCAGCACTGGATGTCTTCCTGTTGGGGTGGGGGGTGTAGTCCGGGCCTTGGAGGGTCTACATTTGAGATGTCTAAACTGTGAGGTCCTACTAAATGTCTAGAGAGGTTCTGGGCACCAGGGGTGCCTGATTCCTGCGTTTGAGGCCCTCCTGTAAATCCTGACCCAGAGAGGGTCTCTCTGAGCAGACTTGGGTGTAGGGAACAGTGGGGACAGAGGAGTGCTACAAACTGAGTGACACAGGCCATCTAGAGGCCTGGAAGGCAGAGAGGCCAGAGTATCCCAGGCAGAGGGAACAGCCTGGGCCAAGGCTCAGAAGAGTGAAACAGAACAGCCTGGTCTGGCAGCTGCAGGTAAGCAAGGGAGAGAAGGAGTGGTGAGAGGGAAAGGCAGAAATAAGTGGACAAACGGCCTTGGATACTGGGCCAGGAAGATGGGTTTTCCTGCACAAAGGAGCTTCTCAGACGCACTCACTGGGGCCCAGGTAAGTAATCCAGGTGAACCATGGAGGTATGGGGGGTGGGGTGGGGGTGCGGATAGGCAAAGTGTTTCACTCAGAACCTGAACGGAACTTAAAGGGGGGAGGGTATAGCTCAAGTGGTAGAGTGTATGCTTAGCATACACAAGGTCCTGGGTTCAATCTCCAGTACCTCCTCTAAAAATAAATAAATAAGTAAACCTAACTGCCCCCAACCAAGGAAAAAAAAAGAACTTGAAGAGAATTTAAAGACATGGCTCTATATTAAATGTGCAAGACTTGCTTTTGACTCCAAGAATTTTCATGTTAGTTTTCCTACAAAAAATGATTTTAAGCACTAACCATTGTATGCCACCGATGCCCTGGAAGATGGACCCTGGTTCCCCAGGAGTTTCCACAGCACAGCTTGAGAATGGCTCTGAGAGTGATGGGGGGGCCGTGGGCTTCTCCACGGAGGAGTGGTACAGTCATTCCTGTGTCTTAGGGAGATCCTTCTGGCTTTCAAGGGTGGCAAAATAGAAACAGAGAGCTAGAAAGGTGGGGTCTTAGGGTCCTCTGGCCAAAGGCTTCACTGTGAGGATGGCCTAGAAGCAGTACTGTGTCTTGGTCTGGATGATTGGCAGGGGTGCAGGGCACTGAGGCTCCAGCCCACTCTCACTAGCTGATAACCTTGGACACATTGCACACCTGTTTCCTGGACTGTAATGGGGGAACTTCTCCCTCGTAGGGTGGTGGTAACGTGCAGTGGGACCTGGAGGATGGCACAGCCTTAAATCCTCAGGGCAAGCTGCTTCCCTTGCCTACAATGCCTTTCTCTCCCTCCTGCAGCTTTCACCACGTGCTGCTCATCCCAAGGGAACGCCCAAGTCAGAGCCACACCCAAGGAGACAAAAATCCTGTTTCCTGCCCCTTCTGCTGTCTTCAGTCCCTCCACCATCATCTAGCAAAACCCCAGCAGCCCAGCCACTGTCAATCATATTACTCATCCTCAGGGCTCACAGCCCAGGAGAGGAACAGAAAGTATTTTGTCCCCTTTTTGCAGCTGGAGAGGCTGAAAGCTCAGGAAGGCCAGAGGTCACTGCCTTCATTGGAATTCAGGTTCTGGGTTCTGATACTTCTTTGAGAGCTTTTTTTTTTTTTAGCCCTTTTATTTTAGACCTATAAGTAAGGATGCCAAGACCAACAATCACCAGCTGCCCAAATACCAAAAAATCATGCTTCCAAAATCTCTTAATGTCAAGTTTGCATGAGGAGCAATCAAGCTGCCCTACGTGGTGTGCCACTCATGACAGAAGCCCATGAGGAACACTTCCCCATCAGCCCTTCTTTCTTTGGGGAACAGGTAGTAGACCTCATTCTCCAGCTCTCCAGGTTGGAATGTTGCCTGGATATTCATTTTAGTTCCAGTCACATTTATCAGGCAGAATATAGGGGCATGATACAGTCATTAGGAGGAAGGCCTGAGTTCAAACACTTAGCTGTGTGACCTTGAGATAGCTTCTTAACCTCCCTGAGCCTCAGTTTCCTCATCTGTATAATGGGGCATGATAATAGAATAATAGAAAAAAATAACATTTACCTTAGAAGGTGGACTGAAAAGCACTCTGAAGTCATACTGGGCACGAAAGAACTCTTTATTAAGTAAGCAGACCCTCTACTCTTACAGGTGTTATAGACATAAATCTATACTTTTAAGTGTTAAATAAATAAACCTGTATGATATACAAGGCTCTGGGGATACATAGAGAAAAAGATACCTTCATTTACTAAGGCATCAGTATCTCATTCAGTTTTCACTGTAGCCCTATTGAGTAGAGGCTCTCATTATCCCCCTTTTATAGTTGCACCGTGAAACTCAGAAAGGTTAAGTTACTTACCCAAAGCCACACAGCTGTGCCGGCACTAAGAGTCTATCTCGAGAAACATACTTTTAACCCCAACATTAACATACCTCTTGGTCCCTACCCTCAAGGGGCTTCTACTTTGATGGGAAATCAGACATTAGACAAAGTACACAAAGAGTCAACTGCCCATCGGATAACTGCTATGAAGGAATTTGGTGAAGGGCAGATACAGGACATAAGGAACATAAATGCGAGCTGGCTGAGCTGGAGGGAGGGTTTTAAGGAAGCAGTAAGTTTGAAGTGTGAACAGAGTACCTTTCCAAGGTGAGACATATTGGTGGTGGAGAGGGACTCTCAGGAATAAAGGACTGAGGGGTTTAGAGCCCAATCCTTTAGGCCAGTGTTCTGTTGAACTCTAGGGGGCGCTGTTTAACATGATGCCCTGTGGAGCTGTGCGCCCAGGGGCCTCAGAGACAGCTTGCTGGGAAAAGGCACCACCCTCCTGGGGTAGGGGCATTTGTGTACACAGACACACAGACCACACAGGTATTGCCGCATGGTGGTGTCTGCTCCGTGTGTGTATGTGTCTGAAAAATCGTGTTCTCATTCTTTTTAAAAATCATTTCAGTGCCCAAACTTTTGACCGCTAGTGTAGGGGTAGCAGGGGTGCCTGAGCCCTGGAGAGGGCAGGATTCCATCCACCTAGGTACCCTGCCCTAGGTCCCACACACTAGTATGAAGGAGGGAGAGAGAACATGGTCCATAGTAGGTACACAATAGCATTTTGCTGAATGAATGCATGAGGAACCCTTCGCTCAGCCCCTCTTTCTCTGAAGCAGCAGTAGACCTCACTCTCCAGCTCTCCAGATTACAGAGTTGCCTGGCATAGAAAACAAAACAACATACTGCATTTTGATTAGGGGAGAAGGACACTGAGTTGTTATTTCTCAATGATTTTCACAGTTAAATAGTTATTTCCTTGGCTTAGGGAAACGCAAAGAGTTTTATTAGGATCAAGTTATGCCATGGCCTAGAAAATGATAGAGATTTTTGGGTAAGAAAAAGTCCATTAAAAAAAAACAAACCTGCCCGAAAGAATAATTCCTGAAATTGTCTGTGTGTGGGGAAGTTTCTGGGACAGTCAGATCTGTACCCCCAGAATTAAGCTGTGGTGGGAACACCAGGGTCCTTGGTGGTGTCCCTCCCTACCCCAAGGGGAGCTCCTGAAGATTAAGCCCTGGGATACGATGAACTCCACAGAATTTTCTTGGATCCTCACTGCCAAACTGAGTGGGAGGGAGGCCTTGCTCCCATTTTCCAGATGAGGAAAGTGGGTTCAGAAATGTACCCCTGCCTCATGGAGGCCCTGGACCACCCAGAGCCTGAAACTCCTCTGAGAGTAGGGGGCCTGGACCAGGTTTCCTATGGTCTCTCTCTGGGCCTAAGGATGGGCTTTTCAGATCCTGTGCTGTGCTGGCCCAGGAGGCAAAGTGAAAGAGAAAGAGTGGGGTCATGGGAACTGGGAGGAACCAGGCCCTATTTGCCTCAAGCCCCACTTTTTTCTGTAGAGAGAGCTGTGGAAAACCAGGAACTGGCCTAGTAACATCTCTTTGAAGACAGAGGCTCAGAGACTCTGAAATGGGTGGAAGGAGGCAGTAGCAGGTAGAGTAGGGTGGAGGTGGCACTCAGAGGGCAACGGGGAGGATACAGACAGCTTTAGATGGAGGGGACTGGGTTATAGAGCTGGAGTCCCACTCCCTTGACCGGCTCCTGGTGGTGTTCTTGAAGGGGGCCCACACCAGCCTCTACCTTTTCTACCTCCACTCTCCATAACAATCCTCCCCCAAACACCGCCCTCCCCAACCCCCCCTGCCAGCTCATCCCCTCTGCCCGACCTGCCCCTGCTCCCCGCAGGCTGGGGCCAACCCAGACCCCGCCTACTTCCCTTCTCCTGACCTTCCTGGGATTGTGCTTTGTTCAACCTTGGAGGGTCCTATGGGGGGGTCTCTTGGCCTTGAATCCAACTTTGGGCAGTGGGTGGGCTCTTGAAGTCTTGGGGATCTTATTTTGGGGAACTTGGGGACTCAGGCTTCTTTGGCCCTCATTCGCAGGAATGTTCCTATCCCCTTTTTCTCCTTTTGTCTGGCTTCATGGGAGAAGAACGTATGTACGGGACTAAGGGCCAGGTATCTGGACGTGCCCTGCCATGTGTGTGTGTGTGTGTGTGTGTGTGTGTGTGTGTGTGTGTTGTTAGACATCTC